AGTTATTTAATTTTAAATCTACAACTTACAGTCCAAAACTGGATATTCTGAGAATTTTTTTTTTACACGACGGTATCTAGGGAAAAGGGGACGTGTCAACATTCTAAACAAAAACATTTTACATGATGTACACATTTTTTTTTCAAATTTATTATTTCAATTGCGTATGTATATTCTTTGTATTTCATACACATATATACATATCTATATATATGTGTAATTATTACATACGATAAAAAAAATACTCAAATATATGCGTATGTGCACAGCCACACTCAAATTTCAAGTAGTATTAAATACTCTAAAGTAAAAATTCTTTTTGAAATTGTTGAAATGCCTCTTATTGCCAAAATTAATTAAGATATCAAAGGTGTTATACTCTGACGTAATATTTATAATTACAAATCTAGAAATATTACTGTTGAGTTGATTTTCATGTATGTATACTACAATCAATCACATCTTATCAACAAACTATGACTGACTGAAAATGCTCGTAACTAAGGCGCATCTTCTTTTGTTTAGATGTTCAAAATTTTTAAAGCGCATCAGACTATTAGCATATTCGATTTACTCGCCCGATTCCAAGACAATGGTCTATTCTGTTTAGCTGCAAAAGAAGAGCTAAATTGTGCAAGAAATGCAGCTAAAAAGAGTAGATCGTTGAGTCGGTAAATCGAATACGTTATATGTGCGCGATTGCGATTCAAAAACAGTTGTGTAAGATTCACATTGCTTCGACATGATCCGATATTTAATAGAAGAATTTATCTCCTAGAGACATCACTAAACATTGCATATATCTTTATCACAGTACTTGTGTAAAATATTTGTTAAATATTTTTCAAAAAATTAGATTTAATTTTTCAATTTGAAAAATTAAACAAAACAAAAATAAGAAACATTCGACTATTCATTGACGCGTATCTCCCGAATCTCGTGGAATAATTATTAAAAAAAAAAATGACATGTTACATAAAGAAAGAAAAAAAAAAAAGATTAGCTGAAAAAAAAAGAAGATTACAAATATCGAAAGATATTGATGTACACTTAATGTTACTAAAATTGAAATTTTTTTTTGAGGAATTTCGGAATGCATAAAAAGGTCACGAATCATAACTATCTGCTTTATAACGCTGCGCAGTTCAATAATTCAAGACTTTTATGTATTTCGCAATTTATTAAAAAAAATGTATTTCAATCTTATTCAGTACAATCTAAATACGCGGTGTTAGGGGCTCCACACAATAAAAAGAACAGGGAACAAAGAATAGAGAATAAGAATTTTCACCTATCAGAAACTGTGTACTCACACAATACATAATTTCTAATAGATTGAAATTTTTATATTTTGTTCTCTGTTCCTTTTATTGTGCGGAGCCCTTAGGCGCTTTTAAAATTAGGCGCCCTCCATCTTCCCCCGTGTCGAAGTCACTTATCATGTTTCACTGCTCCTGATTATACTCGTTCTTGCAAAAATAAACTCGTTATCATCATTCAAAATATAACGAGTTGCTTTTTATATTAACAAATAAATTTCTTACATTGCATATCGGTTTTGAATCGCTAAATCGAATAAAATGCTTTTTTGCACATGCTTTTTTGCACGTGATGATACAAAGCGGAATTCTTATTAGATATCGCTCATCGCTCATCTCTCGTCGTATCCTGTGTGTAATAATCATTAAGGCATCTATTTTCTATTTCTTGTAAATGTATAAATGTAAGGAAGTAAACTATATAAATATAATTTTGCTAGTGTTCAGCTATGATATGTTCCCAACACTTCAATGCATCATGCTTCATATTGAATTCATCAAAAAAAAAGTACAGGATATTTATTAGTTAAGTTACAAGATTAGTTTGTAAAATATTATTCTAAAACAGATTTTTTTCTGTAAAACTTGAAATCAAAATAATATATTTGATGAGCATACTATTAACATTAGATGTCTGGAAACAGCAGTTTTAAATTTACCACTTATCTGTGACGTCACACTTTGACAATTTTGATTGGTCGCATGTGTGTAGCATTCGCGTGGATAATGGGATCTGGCAACACTGTCAAAACCACTTTGTGATTGTAAATTGTGACTTGTGCGCACGTATGAGCACGTGTTTTGTATGAATATCACGAAGATTCATAAAAAAATATGGGTGATATATCACAGACACAACAAATTATAATCCGCAATGCACAGCAGGATGAATCGAAAAGTCCTTCCTTTGTCACGAAACGCGATCGTATAGCGAAACAATACTATATCATCAGAAGTTGGAGACCACGGAATGATGTGTACATAACCCCATTATTCTCTATTGAAAAGCCATATTTCTCTCTCAATAACACTTTAGACGATTTGTTTCAGTATTTGTTTCATCGTTTAGACCCATTAATGCGGGCACGAAGAATTATTGTACAATTGTACAAAAAAAATTGTCTTCACGGTAATACCTGATAAAATAATAAATCCTTTAATCTAGATGGCCATTGATAGTTGGACGCGGTATTCTGATCAGCACGACGGTGATCACTAGTCTTTATTTGAATTATCGATTTAGAGCGAGGATGAAGATCCGAAATTATGGAATATTACCTACAGTATTAGGTCTTGCAGTATCGCCAGCTGCAGTGACAGCAATAGTCCATACAGAGGTATTGACAGAAAAACCGATTAAATTTCTATACAGCATGATGTCTAAGGAACATCTAGAAGACATCCCTATGTCTTCTCTATAGAGCTCTGGATATATCGGAGTAGCGCAATTCTTTTATCTGAGTAAATGTCCAAATGCTAATAACTTTCTCATTGGCTATTTTGATCACTATTTTGGATCTGATTTATTGTTCCATAAGTAAATAATAAATAATACCCAATAAACAAGAATGGATTAAAATGAATTGAGATTTTATTCATCTCAATCCATCCAAATGCGTACTTGGTTTATTTTCACTCTTTTTATATTCAATTAAGTGGACAATTTTTTTTAGATATAAATTATATAAATTTTTTAGACAATTGGATTGAAAAACTATATTTCCTATTCAAAGTTTTAAATTGAGCAGTATTCACGATGCATTTTAAAAAACTGAAATTTTTTTTATTAAAAGGCAAATATGCTTTATGCAAATCCTAAAAATCCTATAAATAAATAAAAATGCATTGGGATCAAAAAGGATTTACCTCAAGTTCATAAATGCATACTTTCAAAAATCTAAATTCATTTCAATCCATTTTTCTTTATAGGATAAGTAAGGCTAACTAAATAAACTTGAATAATCTAGATAACCTAAACAAGCTTAGTTAAATTTTTAATATGGTTATTTAATAATGTTATTTAATATGATCAAGTTTCTCAATACATGGTGGGCCTTTGCATTACTCTGGTGCACCTAGAGCTCTATTATGAATTTCTTATTATGACATTTTCAGGATGTCTCTTGAACAAATATGTTATATGGGTTGAACCAGCGACCCGAGCAAGGAGTTTGATAATACAAAATATTGTATATATCTTTCAGTTGATCATGAATAAGCTATTATTATTAGAGATACCATGTCCTCTATGTATGGAGTCCAAATCCGCTTTGATGCAAATTTGTAGCGGAGTGTTTTTGCCATTGATACTTATACCGTTTGCAAACTTCTCAGTAAGACAAAAATGACAAAATTTTGCTCTCTTACTGTTTTTCACGATATTGATATTCTTTTGATTAGTTTTATTACATCTTATATTTGAATCACAGGTTGCTGCTGGCAGTGGAGTATATAATGTGCCACACATAACTGACATAAGAGGAATATATAGACGTATCCTATCAATCTATCAACCGATGTTTCCCAAGATTGCAATGATTTTCACTTTTCATGCGTTATTGGCTGGTTTTATAACGTATTCAGAAATCAAATCTTATCTTCGAATGTTAGATATGCAGTATTTAATAAAAGAAGAAAAAGAGCAGGAATTTAAAAATAATATTGTTTGAATTTTATAATATTATTGTATTATACTATGAGAGATATTGTATATATAATTGTAGTAAAATATATATACATCTAAAATTGAAAAATTTGATACTTTTAGTCCATTCTATATTAGATCAATATTTAATAATATTATATATAAGGACAACAGAAGAATATAAATGTATTTTGTAGAATATAAAATGTATTTTTATTTCATCATTGACATAATATTATAAGATGTCTAGTTATAATCATTCATTGATATTCACTATGCGTCTCGTACATATCTATTCCTTTTGTCAAAATTAATTCAATGTCTAGGCACCATATGATTTGTTACAATAATAAACGCTTTCCAACTGTACTTTAAAAAGATCGCTGCTTTAAATGTTGATAATACATACGACTTTTCTGATTTAGGATTTTTCCATATAATGTTGACTCACTTATTTGATATAAAGTTTAACTTACTTAATATCGAGTCAAACGTATTATTTCATATTAATGTTAAATATAGTACGAATTTACTTATAGGCTCAAGTAAAATAGCAAATTCGATATTTTCAATTACTCCGATTAGATACATATTTCATCGTGGAAAAATCTAGAAGTATTTTACGCAGGCTTTCAATATTTAATAGATGGGAATTACGATCGAGGTCAAATTACGCTTATTCTTCTATTATGTTAAACGAACTATTTCAACGTATATCATATAATAAAATTTGGGAACTTCTTGAATTTCTACCCCAGCTTGTACAAACGAAAATGAAGTATTCTTATTTTATATACCTATATTATACATTTTTCTACATATTTTAATTAGAAAAAAAAAAAAAAAAAAAAAGAAAGCTTTCTTCATATGGTTTAGTTTCTAAAGTCAAATTGGGCACAGGTGACCACAGTTTTGATTTGCCAACTACTCTAGAGTTAAGTATATTACTGGCAGTTTACTGGACGTCATACAGGGGCCCGAGTAGCAAGGAGATCCCAGGAACTATGTGTATGCGATAAGAATATATAAAAGATAACACCAGATGCAGACGCATCAATTCAACCAAAGTACAACAATATGATCCGTTTATTTTTTCGGTAGGAGTAGGATTTGTATAATACCTACAACAATGATTATGTTGGCAGTGAATGAAATCAGCTATCATATAGCCGTGGAATCTAAGAAGCAAGACAGTTTAATATAAAATATGCCTGAACTTTTTCTCTTCTATTTATATGTGACAATGCTGTTTAACATGCCGCGCATTTAAGGTACGTACATTGACAGATGTTTTCCAGATATTTTTCATTTTTTGTGCCATTTCACGAAATGCATGTTAGCCGTAATTCAATTGCATCTATAGTACATACAACTGTATTTTTATTCTTTTCCATATTACTTTATCTACTTTTAAGTTGGAAAAGATTTTAGCTGAATGTCATAATGAATGAGTCATTACCATGATTTGCACAGCAATCAACATCACAATGAGATCGTCATTTTTGTTTTAATGTCTTACACCTATATATTATGTCTACACCTATTTTTTGTTAGTGGTGATGTAATCCATTGCTTATTTACAGTAGAGGTCCCATTCTAAAGTTTATACCGAAATAGATTAAAGCAAATCATAATAAAAGTTTTTAAAATTAGATTTTGTGATAAATTTACATCAAGTAGAAATTTTAAAAAATTAGACATAATTTTTAGAAATTAAATTATTGTTAGTATAACGAATCCTTTATCTGTAATAAAACTTTGGACTATAATCAAAACATTTAAAACTTCATTGTAGGAATGGTATAAATATGTAATATTAAAAATTTATATGATATATCTACGTGTCACTTTTATGTTTCTTGTACAAGTCCACATATGTTAATAAAAACAGATAAAAAAGATCAATGTCTGTAAAGAAATAAAAATGTATAAGACAGCATTTAATAACAATAATGAGCTTTCTACAAAATAAGCTATAATTTAAGTTTATTAAGCCTTAAGAAATTGACTAATCATAACCGATTATTCTCCTCATATTCGATTGTGATTAATTTCTTATGGTTCAAGACTTAAAGTTTAGCTGACTTATTGTAGAACTAATGACTTATTGTAGAAAGCACATAAAGGTAGGAGCACAGATTTTGGTAATGCATAAAAAAATCAATCAATGAAAATCTTTTATTTCATTGTTGAAAAGGAAGAAAATGAAGGATTTTGATTGGTTCATTTTTTTCATGCATTATGCTTTGTGCAAGACTCCATGCTCCCGAAAAATTTATACCATTGATGCAAAGAAATTTTGTTCAGATGTTATAGTAGTGTTATTGCGTCAAATATTACGCAAATATGAATAATTAACGATTACATTAGATCTTAGAAAGAAAATAACTTTTATGCGTTCTACATAATAGCGCATCTGCTTTACAGAATATTCCAATTAAATATTTTTCCTTAATTATTAAAAAAATCAAAGTTTTTCATTGTGCTCACAAGTATTTGCTGATAATTTAAATCTGTAATGTAGATAGGCGACTATGATAAATTTGTGCATTATAGAATGAATGGACTAATATAGTCACAATTAATTATAAATAGTATTATGTATTCGGAAATTTTTTGTTACTCGTCACAAATACTAATATGAGTATCTAATGTTCTAGCATGATGGCATAATGGCAAAGCTACAATTGTATAGTATTTACATTATAATGATCAATGGCTAGTCATATATTCGACAGCAAACTGAACTTACATTGTTGCTCGCAAATAGATTTTTGTTTTCAGTTCAAATTTAACAATCATAAAATTGTACAATCTTGAGAACAAGAATCTACCATATACAAATGTTTCTATGCCGACAATATTATTTATGCTTACAACAAATATTTTGGAAGAACATTGCCACCATACTGAAGATTATATTTTCGTATTTCTTTTCACAGACGAATAAATCGCATAAGAATAACTAATAATAGAAGAAAAAGAGACAATAAATGCTGTAATAAACAATCAAAATGTATAATCAATTCAAACAACAGACGATAATACACAATAGCCGCCTTCAGTTATTCGTTTAAGCATTTAATTCATTTCTTTGCATTACAAAAGTTTATAAGGAATAACGATAAAGCGTACTGAAGGATGCAGTATGCATAATTTCATCAGAATGGCGGATAGTTTTGCATAGGTACCACAACTGGAGGAATTGGTGGCAGCGGAAGTGTGTGTATAAATGTGGGGTGATTCGGCTGAACCATAACTAACGTATGCTGTTGATTGGCCATGAAAGAATTATATTGAGTGGTACTGTATTGTGAGTAAGATGCGTTAACTGTATCTGAAATATTTTTGTAACAAAATGTGCCGGGCGTTTGGCAAGGTAGGGGCCCTTGGATAGGACCCCAAGCCAGCTGCTAGCATCGCCGGTTATGCCAATGTGTCATGTAGTCTTGATAGCTTACAGTAATCTTCTCGCTCTGGTATCGCGTTAGTTTTACACTGCGTCTAATATCTGGTGTAACTAAACCCTTGTAACCACCCTTATGTAATAGCGAGTCTATAGTTTGTATCTGGTCCCAACCTAATAAAAAAAAAAGTGTCAATTTAGTGGAGACGAAAACATACATTTAAGAAACATGATTAATGGAATAGTTCCATAATAATCCACAGCACATGAATATATTTACAAACCTTGTTCAGTCGCAACATCAGGTAAATAAGTAGCAGTTCTCTTGTTGCCTTTTTCATTATGGAACTCTATGCGAATCCCATGGACTCCTATCTCCCAATCTAAGTAGTCCACGCCGTCTTCAAAATGCCGCAGTATAGAAACGCTTACATGTAAGCGTGGAAGTTCCTCTCGTGTTATAGGATTAAACCGCGAATCCTTGAAAGCACTGTGAAACACAATTGATTATTTGAAAATATAATTCAAAATTCTAGTCCAACTTAAGATTGTTCCATCTTCGGATAAACTAAAACATAAAAAACATAAAAGAATAAAACTGTATGCTGAAGTTTACCGAAAGGTGGAACTCAAGCTAGAATATATATATATATATATATATATATTCTAGCTTGAGTATACATTACCTAGTAGTAGCATATTCCCTAAGTCCTGCATGTAAGTGCATGGCATTGAATGTACCAATACAGCCGCGTAGTCGCATATCCTTTCCAATAGTCCATGTTACAAACAGGGGACTAAAAAGATGTAAAAGAAAATGCGTTAATGACAAAATAAAATCATAGAACTTCAAAACTTAATTCATAGGACGTTAATTCTCTGTTATGAAAGAACATTGCTATTAAATTAAATTCTCAATAATTTTACACAAAATTGCTAAATAATCAGCTTCTTGAATCAATATTTAAACAATTTATATTACTATCTCTATGTAAATAGTTTGTGTAAACATCATTATAATAAAATGTACCATGCTAATGTGATTAATAAAAATCTCTCCTAAACAAAAGAAGTAAAACAGAGTAAAGCAGTGAAATATAGATGAATCATGATACAAATCTCTATCTCTAAGATCTAAAATCTAAGGAATTAACTGAGAAAAAGAAATAAATTCCAAAAAACGTTTACATTTTTACATTTCAGTAAATTATTCAGAAGCAAAACAATGCTGGTGTCTGGTATAACCTCGGCGGAAGGTCAGCAGCACGAGCCAGACGGAGTAAAAAATTGCAAAAAAATAAAACTTCCTTCAGAGATATTTTCTTTGCATTTCATCTCCACTTCTCCTCCCATCCCCCCCCCCCCCCCCTGCTCTTTACTCCACGACGATAGTTAAAGACACAAAAGCACAACGATAGTTTCAACAAAGAGATGTACTGGTGTGGGTGGAGGAAGAAAAAGGACAGTTACGAAAAGGAAAAAAAAATGTGCCACGATGCAGAATGGGCAAAAGAGGGACCTGGGGAGGCGGGGCAACGAAGGCGCGCATGGGAAAGGCATGAGCGCGAAAGAGAGAGGGGGGAGGGGAGGGGGGGGAAGAGAGAGAGAGAGAGAGAGAT